GGGAAACCAAAAAAAAAAAAAGAATTATGATTATATAATGCTTGTGTCCAAACATGATAGATACCCCCAAATGATTCATTATTGTCTTTGGTGCATTCCATCCTGGAGTTGTAATAATCATTCTCTTCCCCTTTCCAGTGAACATTAACATGTCTATTCAACAACAATATCTCATGATGCTAGTGTATGTGTATTTGTCTGCTTGTCTTTGTATAGTGTACTTATAATAAATGGTTCTGGGGTATCACCTGGATTTAACATGGGTTTAAAAAGGAAAATAACAAATGGGCATAGTGTAAAATATTGTTGGAAAGTTATGCAAATGTATTTCAGGGGAAGTTCATGTTGCAGCTTTGATATGAATAAAAATAAAAACTTACGTTCCTGTAGAATTAGACCCCAGTAGAACTTGAAGATACCAAATTCAGTGGAGTTGCAGACACTGCAAGTTAGTATTAGATTCAAAATAGTCTTAATAAGCTGGAGAAATAGTCCAAAATAAGTTGAATTAAATTCAGTAAGAAGAATTTCAAAGTCTTAGTGCAAAGAGAGAATAATTGGATGCACAAATACAGACTGAGGAATGACTGGCTATAGTATTGCAGAAAAGGACCTGGGGTTATAGTGGATCATAAGCTGAATATGAACCAATAGTATGCTCTTGTTGCAAAAAATGCCACTAGTACACTTGGCTGTACTGATAAGAATGTCACTTGCAAGTCAAGGGAAGTGATCCTCCCACTCTGTTCAGCACTGATAATGCCTTTCCTAAAGTACTGTGTTCAGTTTTGGACATCAAACTTCAATAAAGATGTGGACAAATTAGAAAGACTAGTAAATAGCAACAACAATTATTAGAGGTATGGAAAAAGTTTTTTACGAAGAACTGGAATTAGTCTTGGATTAGTCTGGAGAAAGAAAAACTGAGGGGCTATGATTTAGTAACAGACTACAAATACCTGAAGGGTGGAGGAAGGTAGTTAGCCATTAGTCTAAAGATAGGCAGAATGGAGGGCAGTGTGGCACCATGTATACCAGGGGTAGGCAACCCCCGGCATGCATGCCAGTGTGTGACACTGAAGGCATTTTGCTTGGCATGAGTGTATCAGGGCAGATGGTGGGGAAGAAGCTGGGGCTGTACTGCCACAACAAGGATTGGACCCTTTGTTACTCTCCCACCATCCACCTCTGGTATGCCAACATCTTACCAGTAGAGGTTGCATGTGTTTTTGGTACTCTGTCCAAAAATGTTACTGACCCCTGTTATAGACTAGCTTGTTCAGAGATGCATGAACTTTTGTAGGCTGCAGCCTATGACCTGCAAAATTCATGGTTCTGCAATTTCCGCAGAAGCTGTGGATTTGGTCAGTCTTTGCGAAAAAGCTCAGGGACCACAAAAAAGTGTCAAATCAACAGTGAGTGGAGGGAGAGAAAAAAAAAGATGCAAAAACAAAAAAAGGGTGGGAAGCCCTGGCATCCTGAAGCGAGGTTCTTATATCGTAGCAAGGGAAATTTGGGTTAGATATTAGGTAGAATGTTCTCACTATGAGAATGGATAAGCATTGGAACAGGCTACCTAGAGAGTTTGTGGAATCTCCATCCTTGGAAAAAATTTAAAAACAGGTTAGAAAACTCTTGTCTGAGATGGTTTAGATGAGGATGGTCCTGTGCCGAGCAGGAAGTTGGACTAAATGACCTCTGAGATCCCTTCCAGCCCTGCTTTCTTAGAATTCTGTGATTGTTACTAACCAACATTGTGAATTTCTTTTGATAGCTAAATTATATTTGATACCCAATTCAGGAAGTCACTTAAGCACGTGTATGCTTAATATAAGGCATAGAAGTCCATTTATGGGTGTAGACAGATGTAACAATTCAAACATTTCCAAGTGAAACCCACTCAGAAATGTTTCAAAAAGAAAATGCTTCAGCTAGAGGATATATGTATGTCTCTGTGCTGTTCCTGGGTAATGGAAAATTTCAAAATGCTGAAGGCTCCTCTACTACCCACCAGTGGACTCCAGAGCAGGCTGTGGTGACCTGTGGCTTCACTCTTAGCTCCCCCATGCTCCTCCACTCACAGAAGTGGGAGGTAAAAAGGAGGGGAAAGCTAGGAGTGTAGGGGAGGGGTAGAGGAGATTAAAGTTGGAGAGCCCAGTTCCAGCATCAGTAGGGGCGCCAGGGATCTGGCAGGGAAGGTGAGAGTAATATGCCCAACTCCAGCCCCACTCTAACTCGTGGCACTTTAAATGAAGCGGCATGAGTTAGTAGTGACCCCCTGATCCAACAGATGTTCACCTGCTGAATCAGGAGGAGCAAGGGAGAGGGGAGGAGCGGGATTGAGCCTGCCTGTACTGGCCCTCTTGGCCAGTAGGCAGGTGTACTCCAGCAACCTCCGAAGAGGCTGCTGAACTACCCCTCTCCCCAGCTCCGTGGCTGTCAGTGGAGAGGCAGGGAAAGGAGCAGAAGTAGCTGCAGGACTGCTATGTCTGGCCTGACCCTGGGTGGGGTATTTTGGGGGAGTCAGACTGAGCCCCTGAGGCAAGGGGGCACCCTTCCACCCCCTTTCACCTCTCTAGCTCAGGCCAGGCTTGCCCAGCAGTTTCTGCTGCCACTTTCAAGAGGCCTGGCCAGAGCTTGGAGGGGGGGAGAGGTGGCTCAGTAGAACAGAGCCTTCTTATCTCGGAGGTCTGTCTCGGCTCCCCCCAACACCCCAGCCAGGGTAGCTGGCAGGGACTGTGAGGTGAGGGGCTCCATTCCACCGCCCCCTGCTCGAGCTCAGGCCTGGATAGCAGCCCAGCAGCTGCTACTGCTCCCTTCCCTCCCTCTCCACTGACAGCCCCAGGGGTGGGGTTGGCTGCTGCTTGCATCAGCCCAGCCCTACCCCTGTGTGAAAAATCAACCCTCTAGGGAAAAGAAGTTCCGTAAGAAACTCTAAAGCAGAGTGCTTTAGCCTGTTACCTGATTTGACAAGGGATTTTTTGCCCAATCAGCAATTTTAGAAGTTCTCTGTGTGTAAGGTCATAGCTGTAGAGCACTTTCAGGGGCCAGATCACATGAAAAAATGTCATTTCTGCCTGCACCCCAAAAGTGAAATGCTTCAAAATAGTGCCTCATTTAAAGAGGTACTATTGTAAAGTGTTTCAGACACTTTTGCAGTGTTTCAAAGGGCTTGCATATCTGTACAGCTATACATACTACCTATATTCTCAGCTTTTTATAAGAAAAATTAGAACCTGTTCTTGTGAGCCCTTGCTCACCTTAATGATCCCATTAATTCTAGTGCAGCTCTTCATATATAAGTAAGTATTAATAAGAAAACAGATTGCTGCCCCGGTACTTTAAACTGAATGTCACTGAGTGACTGTAATTCTTTAAAATAAAGACAATAAATATATTTCAAAGCAAATATGAAATAAGGAAAATGCCATCTGTTATGAATAGCAACGGTTACAATTTAGATTATTTTTTATTATTTAATATAAAGATTGTTTTTTCTAATACTACTTGGCATGTCAGAGTGGTACTAATAAATTGTCTTCCTCAATTAGTTTTCCAATCTTTGAAAATCCTTATCCTATTGACATTCATGAGTCACCAGTTACCTGCACAGAATATTTTGCCGACTGTCCTCCAGATTTGATTCCTGTACTCTATTCTGTAGGAGCTAAACATAAAAAGCAAGGATACAGCAATAAGGTAAGTAAACAAAAAAAAAAGAAGCCTTTTTATTAATGAAGATAGTATGAGTGTAAAGAGCTAACGCTATATTCATAATCTCTTGCCAGAATATTTTCATTGTATGTCTTCTCTTATATTAAAATAAGTTGAAGAAAATTGATTTGAAAATCAAAACCTTGTTGAAGAAATGTGCCTATGCTATAGATACGATTCAGGCAATTAATTTAAGTATAACTGAAAGAGGTTAGGTGAGAAAAAATCCTCTATCATTACAGTTTGTTAACTTTGTGAGTTTGGTTGCATTTTTGATGTACACTCAGTTTCAACCTCTCTGTTGTCATTTGAGACATGATCCTGCAATTGGCTCTATATACACAGCCTCTTGTCTACACATGATAACCCAAAGTCTTCATCATCTTCATCTTCATCTTCATTTGCAGATTCCATACAAGAGCAGGATCAGCATTATTCACTTTTCCCTAGCTGAATGGAACTTTCCCATCAACAGGGAAAAACATCCTTGCACTTTTCATACACTAATTCCCGAGTGTTTGAGGTTTATTTATAACACTGTCTCTGCTGCAGCTAATAAATTAAGGTCAGAATTCTGGGGTGATATTTCAATTCTTCTCTGGTACATAAAAACATGCCCGCAGTAAATTTTGACCTCTTTGGAAGAATGTTCTTTGGAGCTAGTTACACTTCAGTATATAAGTCCAGGATATGTTAAAACAAGGCTAACATTTTCAACATTAGATGGCTCTAGTTAGGTTTCTAATCCATGTTTAGGCCATCTGGAAGTGTGCTTAGTTTTGATAAATGATAATAAATGAATGGCCTGATTTTCAGAAGTGAAGAGTATTTGCGGAAGTCAATGGGTGCTGTGAGTGATCAGCACCACTGAAAGTCCGTCTTTTTATTTTAAGTGCCTGAATATGGATTTAAGAGCCCAGTCTTAAGCAGCAAACTTCAGAAGTGTTGGCCTGATTTTATAGAAAGCTCCAGTAGAGTTAAAAACCAGAACCAAAGACATTTGTTTTTTTTTTAATGCATAGAATTATAAGTTATTACACAGAAGCCTTAATATGGAACATATTCAATTTAAAGAATACTAGTTTTTCAAATGTACAATTTTGCAATGTACAGTCTTCATTGTATTATCCACTGGACTCCATACTTAACAGCGCTGATTATTAATAATGGTACATAGGGATCCAACTAAAATGTTAATGTTCATTAATTATTCAAGTGATTACCTGAATGTAATTTCTTGATGTAGAGCCCCACTCCTGGCCTTCTCCCACCCCTCACCATGTTGTCAAGATTCAAATCTTTTGGCTAGTAGTGTTTGTAGGGGCTATATATGCATCATGTTTTTTGTATCCTATACCTTTTCCAGCTGTTCACTAGAAAGGAAACACAAACTGCCTAAGAAGCTTGCAGTCTATGCATTGTGTTGTGTTGTTTGAAAAGGGGGGAAGAGATGTGAAATATGTGAATGTGCTGAATGTGCACATGAGAACCTAAAGTTACTTTTTGTTGAATCTGCAAATGGCAATAAATGCATAGCTTTACTTTTTATTCACAGTATATTTCATGCTTGA